CAGCATCTTGATTGTCCAGTATCTTCATTGATTGATCCTAATTTGGGGTCGTGGAATTTGGTGATTCTTAGAACTTTATTCAATCCAAAAATTGTTGAGACTATCCTAAAATTACAACCAAGTTGCTTGAGGGAACATGATGTATGGTCATGGGAATATGAAAAATTTGGTATCTATTCCGCGAGCAGTGCATATAGATTCTTCAGAAATTACCTAACTCTAGACCGTGGCACTTCTTCAACTTTTGCAGAGAAAAAGAAATTTTAGGATACGATGTGGCGGCTAAGAATCCCTCAAAAAATAAAGGTCTTTGTTTGGAGAGTTTGTCAAGAAGGTCCGCCTTCAAAACAAAATTTGATTAGAAGGAAAGTTCATGTTGTTGCCCAATGTTATTTTTGTGGTTCCCAAGTGGAAGACTTATGCCATGCCTTGCTTCACTGCGCTTCTATTCATGAACACATTATCAGTAGATTTCCGGTGGTTTCATGCAAGCTGCTACGGATATATTGACAACAATATCAAAGGATGCTCTCATGGACTTTCTACTTATTACTAGGACTTTTGGTACCGACGGAATAAAATGATCCACGATCAGATTGAGCTCCCTCCACAACAGGTAATTGCCACTGCCTTAGCCTCTAAACTTGCTACTGCAATTGGCCTTTCTCGAAAAAATGCTCCTGGAGTGTTGCCTCAAAAATACAGATGGTTCGTTCCACCTCAAGATGCTTTCAAGCTTAACGTTGATGTCGCTTTGTTCTTTGATTTTAATAAGGTTGGACTTGGTATAATCTTACGGGATCATAGAGGAGATATTGTTATGGCTGCTAGTGGCCCAGAAAATTGTATCCTTGAACCTGAACATGCTGAAGCGACTGCAATTGTGAGAGGCCTACAACTATGTCTCAACCTGGGAGTCTCCAATTTACTAGTAGAGAGTGACCGTATGCTCCTTGTGAACGAAATCAACAAACAAGTCTTATCCTCAGCAACAATCCGTTCCCAGGTGGCGGAGATAAAGGAATTAATGCACGATACCCTTATTGTAGCATCTTTCATTGCAATAGAATTATCAATCAAGCTGCTCATTACTTGGCATAGCATGCGTGGTCCCTTCAAGATATGGTTCTTTGGTGGCATAGAGTCCCCTCTTTCATTGAAAATGTTATTTTCATTTATAAACACTATTGTAACCTTTCTTAAGGCTATTTGCCTTCATGAATGAAGTATTTTTCCCATAAAAAAAAAAAAGAAAGAAACACAGAGAGGCCATATTAGTAATTTACTTAACATGCACAAAAATAAATCATATTTCAATTATCACCAAAAAAATTATGACCATATTAGGAAACTAAAAAAGAAATACTTAAAAATATGGCAGACTTAATAACAAGGTGGTAATAATAATTACAGTTCATGAAAAGGATGAAGAGAACTATGTTGTCTTTATAACTTCTGGTGATGTTTATGTAATTTGATTTCTAATATTTTTACACCTATTGATGTCCAAATATTTGAAATGTTCACAAAAGTTTCAGCATTTGACAAAGTTTAAATTTTAATTTATCTATAACATAAATACATGGAAGAAAACCAAAAAATTGGAAGGATGATTAAAACAGAGAAATCTTTGAATGTAGAATTGTGAGAGAATTTCTCTTTTCTGAATTAATTCTCGTGTGTTGATTTGCCATACAATGCTATTGATATATCTATATAATACAAATGACTATTTCCTAACCATACAAAAGAATATTTTCTAACCAACCCTATACAACTTGCCATACAAAAAAAAGATCTCTACAAAACAAATTTTGCTGAAATAACATAATGCAAATAAGCCAGTATATTCCTTAAGCTTCTCTTCTATCTTCCAGAACTTTCTTCCAAGAGCCTGTGGTCCAACTTGTCATCCAAGTGGACTTGAGATGGATGCTAACACTGTTGATCATCAGGCTGTAGTTGAGATTTATTTTCTAATAATATGTTTTATCAATATATTTTATAAGACCCACA